TACTACTACTACTACTACTACTACTACTAACTACTACTACTACTACTACTACTACTACTACTACTACTACTACTACTACTACTACTACTACTACTACTACTACTACTACTACTACTACTACTACTACTACTACTACTACTACTACTACTACTACTATTACTACTACTACTACTATACTACTACTACTACTACTACTACTACTACTACTACTACTACTACTACTACTACTACTACTACTACTACTACTACTACTACTACTACTACAACTAGTAGCGGTAGTACAAGTGGTAGTTCCAGTCGTAGAACAGGAGGAGGACGAGGGAAAAGAAGAGCTGATGAGGAGTGGGGAGGATCAGGCTGGAGGAGGAGGAGGAGGAGTCTGGACGAGGGCGAGCGGCGGGCAGGTCGACGTGATCTCCGGCAACGCGAGCCGGTAGGAGGCGCCGGCGGCGGCCGTCGCCACGGGGCCCAACAGACCAGGGGCAACGTTAGGGGGGGGGGTAGGCTCAGGGGGGGACGGACGCATCGACCCCGAAGCGCCCACTCATGTCCGGTTGGGGCCTGCCAGCCCGCCCTGCCCAGGACCGTGCGGATTCCCCCTGGCCCACCCTGTCGTTGCACTCAAGAGGGCTGAGCTCCGAGGCGGCACGCCCCCAGGAGGGAGGAGGGAGGAGGGAGGAGGGAGGAGGTAGGAGGGAGGAGGGAGGAGAAGGAGGAGAGAGGAGGAGGAGGAAGAGGCGGAGGAGGAGGAGGAGGAGGAGAAGGAGGAGGAGGAGGACGAGGAGGAGGAGGAGGAGGATGGATGAGGAGCAGCAGGAGGAGGAAGAGGAGGATGATGATGCTGCTGCGATTTTGCCCCCCCACGCCGGCGCGGCGCGGCGCTCCGCGCGCGCTGGCGCTCCACGCGCCCCGCGCGAAAGGCGCCCCGCGGCCGAGGCCGCTGGCCGTCGCTCGCGGGGCGGGCCGTCGCCACTGCGCGACGTCGTCGTCGTCGTCGTCGTCGTCGTCGTCGTCGTCGTCTTCGTCGTCGTCGTCGTGCCCCCGTTTTTGTGCTCCTCGTGATCCTGCCCTGCCGTGCGCCGTCGTCCTCCTCCGCTGCCGGTGCCGCTGCCGCTCCACCCCCCGCAGCTGCTTCTGCGCCGCCACCTGCTCCTGCTGCTGCTGCTCCTCCCCTGTCTGAGCACGTCGCAAGACGGCTCGGAGAGCGATTGAAGTACACGCCGGTCGTTGAAAGTACGTATTTTCGGACCCCTAGATCCCAATCTACTTTAGCCGCCCTCTTACTTCAAGAGTTAAGCGGTTTTCCATATCCCCCCCTCTTCAGGGGGTGGGCGGGAGCCCAATTTACTTCCAGCGCCTTCCTACTTCATGGTTCTACCCACTTCTTCCGACCGACGCGTATTGGTTGGCGGCACGCACAGGGGCGTAGGGGGAGGGGGGAAGGCTTCTTAGAAGGAGGCTGCTTCTGAGAAGGCGTGGGCCTAATCCCCCCATCCCCCACCCCCCCCTGTGCGCGCCGCCAATTGGTCAGCGCTGGGTTTGAAAGAGCGACGTCAACATTTGATAACACTTGGACTGCATCGGACGTCGGCCGCTTGGGTCCCGGCCAGCGGGTTCTTGCAATCTCGATGTGGGCTTCATGTGCTGCAATCCATGTGGTGCAGTTGACCGCATCCGCTCGTGACCGCCTCTAATGTTCGTGCAGAACTCCCACCCACCCAACCACCCGCAACTTGTCGGCGAAACCCAACAACGGCGGCGACAACGACGATGACGATAGCAATGATGATGTTCATGACGACGCTGGAGATGATATCGACGACGACGATGGTGATGGTGATGAAGCTGATGGTAATGATAATGACGGTGGCAACGATGACTCTAGCAATGATGATGACGAAAGTTTGGGAAGGATGATGCGGAAATGCGTGCGCACAGAATTTTGCCGAGGGCGACTACATAACATCGACGATGACGATGGTGACGGCGGCGGTGATGATGACGACGTTGGCGATGTGAACGATGATGATGATGATGATGATGATGATCATCCTCATCATCATCACCATCATCATCATCATCATCACCATCGTGATGCTGATGATTATGACGACGATGATGTTGATGACGATGACGCTGATGATGATGCTGATGATGATAATGATGATGATGATGGTGATAGTGATGGTGATGACGATGACGATGACGATGATGATGATGATGCTGATGATGATCATGACCATGATCATGATCATGATCATGATCATGATTATGATTATCATGTTGATGACGGTGACGGTGGCGACGACGACGATAATGGCAATGATGCCGTTGACGTTGATGATGATGACGATTGTGTTGATTAGGATGATGAGGAAGTGCACGCCCGTGTACATGCAGAGTTCAAGTCGCACCTGATTGAAGAACCCTTGCGTTTGCATATGGCCTTGAACATATGTTGAAATGGCTAGAGACCACTGATTTCGACGTGCGCGAGCGGAGACGCGCGCGTGTGGTCCACATGGTATTGTTTGACAGAGTTGTCGGGCGCGTGGTGGTCGTCAAACGTTTTCGACATGGGCGCGCGTTTGGCCCGCATGGTCTCAGTTGACATAGTGGCGGAACGCGAGTAGCATTCTTATGATTTCAGCCAGCCGCGCACAGTTTTTTTGATTTCATTCGTTAACAACGGTTGATGGTCGTTGTTGAATAGCTATGTTTGGACGCTGCTAGAGAATCGAAGGGTTTTTAATGATATTGGCATGCGCATGCAGCGTCCCGCACGGCAATTTGTTTGCAAGGACTTCTTTACAAACAACGAAAGCAGGGCTTACATCAGCGCCTGTGCACCGTATAGTGTTATTTGTTAGGGGTGAGGGGGGTGCACCTGCCTGGCTTAAGCCGAAATCGAACCCGAGCGCCATTGTTTGCCCCTTCGGGCACCCTTTGCCCACGTGTTGCGACTTCTATGGCGTCATCACGTCATTGCTCTCCTGATTGTCTTTTTGTCTTTGTCCTGATTGTCGGATTGCCTGCCTCCACCCTGTCCTGATTGCTTGATTGTCTTCCTTGTCATCTTCCTCCACAGCCGTTTCGGCTCAACAGCGTTTCGCCCTGATTCCACGAGCTCGCCAAGTGTGCCCAACACATCAGGCGGCGCGATGGTCGGGATGAGGGGCTACGCTTTCAGGGTGCTGGCGCCGAAGGACATTGCTGCCGTCCTGGGGATGATCGGAGTGCATCCGGCAGTGACCCCGGATGCCGTGGACAAGCCAACTTTGGAGGTTGCCATGTCCGTGTTCCAGCACCTCGTGGAGTTCGCCTACGACATGGACGTGGCCCAGGTGAAAGCTCAAACTCCACACCTCGCCCAGCCGACAGAGATTTTCGACGAGGCTACTGACGTCTTGACGGTCTTCAAACTCGCCAAGCAGCTTGCGGCCATTAACCTGGTCGATGACTTCAGCCTCAGCGACATATGGGAGCCGAGCTCGAAGCGCTTCCGCGCCGTGCTGAGCGGGATCGTCAACTTCTGCCGCTACAAGGAGGCTCAGGTGATAGTGATCACCGGCATGAAGGCAGATCTCCACTCGCTGGATGCCGAGCGCCTCGAGCTCGTGGAGAGGACCAGCCAGGTCGGGGACGAGCTCAATGTGGCGCGGGAGCGGCACAACCGGGAGCTGCAGGACCTCTTCGCCGCGGAGAGCGACGCGCAGGAGGCACAGGGCCTGGTGGACAAGCTGCGGCAGCAGAGGCACTCGGCCGACCGCCTGCTTGAGAGCAAGGAGGCCGTGCTGGGCGGCGCGAGGGAGCGGGCGGCCCAGAACGAGCAGCGCTGGTCGCAGGACCAGCTGCGGGAGGCGGACCTCCGCGACCAGATCGCGGAGAGCCCCGAGGGCCTGGAGCGGGAGGTGCGGGAGCTGCACCAGGCGGTGCGCCAGCAGAAGGGGCGCCTGGAGGAGAGAGTCGACGAGAAGAGGGCCCGCGCGCAGCGCAACACCGTCCTTGGCTCCCTGGCGGAGCGCCTCAAGGGCTACAAGGAGGACCTGGCCAAGGTCCACGAGGCCGCCGGCCAGGCCGCTGCTGCCAAGAGCCACGCCTGCTCCGCGGGCGAGGAGCTGGCCGCCCTGAGGCGCGGCCTCGAGGCGCAGAGGGCCGAGGAGGCCGAGCTGGACCAGGCGGTGAAGCAGACACAGGCGGAGCTGGAGAAGGCCAAGCAGGCACACGAGGGCCGCCTGCAGCAGCTCGAGGCCCGCAGGAGGCAGGCGCTGCTGCAGCACCAGGAGCTGCAGGCCAGGCGCACGGAGGAGCAGAGGCAGCTGGCCGCACTGCAGGCACGCCGCCTGGAGCTGGACGCGGAAGTGGCCGGCGCGCGCCGCGCGCACGAGGCCGAGATGAACGACCTGAGGGCGCAGCTTCAGCAGCTGCGCGAGGAGGCGCTTGCTTACGTCCAGGGCGTCGAGGCAGAGTGTGAGGCCTACAGCGCCAGGATCTCGGGCAGCGTCGGCGCGCCGAGCGGCAAGCTGCTGACGGGCTCTCCGGAGGCCAAGCGCGCGCAGCGCCGGCTGGGCTACACGCCGAGCCCCCAGCGTGTGCGCTGCATTCGGCAGCCACTCGTCCTGTCGCCGGGCGCGTAGACACTGCCTGCCAGGATGCGGGTACTGGCGACGCTTCTCAGGGGACAGTCCGAGGGGGAGCGGCCTATTCGAACAGCAAGGAGGCGTTTTTTGGAATTCACGGGCGAAGAACGGTGTCAAGGGCGGTCGGGAAGGAAAGACCCCCAGGGTGGCACGTCAGGGTATCAACTTTCCAGCCGCCCATGGACAGGCGCCCCCGGTGGCGAAAAAGTTTATTTTGTATTGTTCTTCGCCCGCGAACGGAAGGGGTCGGGCCATTCCACACGCCCTGCGCTTTCTCCAAGGAGCGGTGGGGCCCTCTTTGAAGGTCGCACTTCTGACCATGCCCTGTTCTGCGCGCCGCCAGGGTGTGTGTGTGGTGTGTGTATGTATGTGTGTGTGAAAATGTGTGTGAAAATGTGTGAATATATATATATATATATATATATATATATATATATATATATATGTGTGTGTGTCTGTGTCTGTGTGTGTGTGTGTGTCTGTGTCTGTGTCTGTGTCTGTGTCTGTGTCTGTGTCTGTGTCTGTGTCTGTGTGTCGGTGTGTCGCTCCTGCACGCTGGCCAATGTGTTTCTGGGTGCCCACGTTTAGCTCTAGCGCTGGTGCAGTCATTTCTGCCTCGCCGCCGACGGAACACGTGTCTGTGTGTCTGTGTGTGTGTCTGTCTGTCAGTCAGTCAGTCAGTCAGTCAGTCAGTCTGTCTGTCTGTCTGTCTGCCTGTCTGTCTGTCTGTCTGTCTGTCTGTCTGTCTGTCTGTCAGTCTGTCTGTCTGTGTGGGGCACGGGCGAGGGATGGATGCGCAGGAGAGGTTGCAATTTATTTTTGCTGTTCTTCCGCGTCTGCCTCCACTGCGGGGCGCGCGTGTATCATATTCACTGCAAGTTGCAACAATTCATGTCGCAGAGATGCCAATTGACCAGCGCTGCTTCCTGCTGCAGCGCGCGCGCGTGCGGGGGGGGGGAGACAAGTTTCTCCGCCCTCCTCCTCCTCGTCCTCCTCCTCCTCCCGCCCTCCCTCGAGGGGAGAACGAGGAAGAGGAGGAGGAGGAGGAGAAGGAGGAGGAGGAGGAGAAGGAGGAAGAGGAGGAGGAGGATCTGTCGTCGTCGTTGACGGCGTCGCTGTTGCGTCGTTGTCGCTCTCGCCTCCTCCGCCAGGATGACTTGGCACACGATGGAGAAGGAGGAGGGAGTAGGGAGGAGGAGGAGGAGGATGAGGAGGAGGAGGGCGAATGAGGACGAGGGAGGAGGAGGAGGAGGAGGAGGAGGAGGAGGAGGAGTAGGAGGAGGAGGAGGAGGAAGAGGAGGAGGAGGAGGAGGGACGACGACGACGACGACGACGACGACGACGACGACGACGCCGACGCCGACGCCGACGCCGACGCCGACGCCGACGACGACGACGACGCCGACGCAACGACGACGACGACGACGACGACGACGACGACGACGACGACGACGACGACGACGACGACGGACGACGACGACGACGACGACGACGACGACGACGACGACGACGACGACGACGACGACGACGACGACGACGACGACGACGACGACGACGTCGACGACGACGACGACGACGACGTCGACGATCACGACGCCGACGACGCCGACGCCGACGACGACGACGACGACGACCATGACCACGATCACGGCGCCAGGATGGTCTGGAACACGATGATCAAGGCGTGCTCGAACGCCGGCGACCTGCCGCGGGCCGAGGGCCTTGTGCGCGAGATGCGCGCGGGCGCGGTCCAGGAGAACGCGCGAGCCTCACCTCGCCGCCGCTGTCGTTGCCGGCGGCACCAGCGGCGACCAGTGGCCTCCGGCGGCCTTCGGAGGCCATCAGCGGCTTCTGGCGGCTTTCGGCGGCCTTCGGCGGCCCGGACAGCGGAGCAGAGGCTGGCGGCGTCGGCGTCGGAGTCGGTGTTGTCGTTGTTGTCTCTGGCTGCTAGCGCCGACTGGTGCCTGCGGGCATCTCCTGGCGACTACTAGCGTTCACTGGTGCCTGCTTAAGACCAGCCTGGGCGATTGCCGGATGCCCGAGCTCGGGCAGTGGCGGACTGAGACATTCAGGCAGCGGTGTTTCTGAGTTGGGCTTTGGAGCCCCGTCTCTGGACCCCTCGACTACCAGGAGTGACCCCAAGGAAAAACCGGTCTTGGAAATGGGGTCGAGAGCTCCAGGGGCCCACGGATTAAGATATCCCGACGTCGGAGGCACGTGGCCGCACGTTTGTCCTTTCGCTTAGCGTGTCGCTTCGCCAATTCTGGCCCACGCTTCGGCACGACACGCTATCCACGTCCCCACTCTCAAGCGTCAACGTCCCGAGGTGTTCCCAGCCTCCCGCCCCGCGGAGCGAAGCGACACGCTATCTGCTTGCAAGGCATAGCGTGTCGCCGGGGCCGCCGCCGCGACACGCTGTACAAAAGTTCCCGACCGTAAGGCATCCAGGCGTCGGAGGTCTTGCATGTGGCCGCACGCCTGTGCAGCGCTCGCCCCCGTGCGGGCGGGCGCACGCCCCTCCGCGTGTGTGCGTCCAGTGGATGGCCTCCGCATGCTCCTCGCGTGCGTTCCACCCCCCCCCGCCTCTGCAGCCGCCCTCTGCGCCCCACGGGCTCGACCCACGCGCCTGCGTTCGCCGGCGTTGCCTGCGTTTGCCGGCGTTGCCGAGGAAAA